GCATGTGACCGGTCAGTTCCGCGCGGGGGGCCCAGCCCTCGGTTCCTGGCTTTCCTGCGGCACGAGGTGATGTACAAACCTGCTCTCTGCCTACGCGGAAGGAGGCCGTAGGTGGGAGGATCGTCAGGTGATCCTGGGATTTCCTTTTTCCCGTTTATCATTTGCTAGGCTTCACGGCATAAGACTCCTGAAAGAAGTAAACAAATTTTCTTACTGAAGAGCCGCAGTTCCAAGTACACGTGAGAAGAGGCTTCAGTGTTAGAAAGTACAGAGGGCAGAGGGGTCTGGAACATCAGTTATTGTTTGCTGTGGCAGGCACGAATCACTAAAGAATAATCCAGATTCGTTCCCTGAGTCGTAGACCTTACCGTCTAGTGAAGGAGAGGAACGGTGATAAGATAATCACAAAATTACAGTCGTGGAAAGATGACTGTGGAAGCACTTAATACTGAGCTCAACGACTAAAGAGGGGCGGGGGGACGGTCAGGGGAGATCTGGCTTAGCCTGGGAAGTGACCAGAGGAATGCCCTGAGAAAGATAGCGCTAGGCGGGAAAGGGGTTTCCTAAGTCAAGGGGAAGAGCATTTCAAGATCAGAAAGGCCAGAGTGGTTTAGACATAAAGGAAGTTTGGTTCAGAATGAGGCTGGAGAGGTGGCAGGGACCTTCTGTCCTCCTGAAAGTTGTTGGTTATTAAAGTCCTGGCGGTTTTAAAGTGGAAGGGCACTGGGTGTGGTGACAGCACCAGCAGCGCAGAGGGGAGACTGTAGAGTTGGCGGTATACGGGCCTAGTTAGGAGACTGATGGGAATCCAAACCAGAGGGAAGATGTCTTAATCTCGGGTGGTGACAATGGCTTTGGAGAGAAGTGGATGGTTTGATTGTCATTAGGAAGTAAAATGAAGGAGACTGTGTTGGATTAGCCACGAGAGTGAGAGAGAGCAGACATGGAAAAGGCGAGGTGGCTCTGGGTGGACTGCGATGCTGGTCGCTGAGATGGGGAGTTCTGGAAGGTGAGGTGACTGTTTAGAAGGTTAATATACAGGAATAAGTACAACTTTTAATATGGAGTCTTTAGCTCAGGACTTAAAAGCGTACTTTAAAATGTTTTCTGCATGGCTCATTTAAAAAAATAATTAAAAAATAAACAAAATATTATGGCTAAAGAAATGTAGTTAATTGGCCAAGACATACTTTAGCTTTTTCCAGTGTCACAAATCTGTGTTCTAGCTCTTAAGCAGCCAACCTCAGTGTGGAGAGTACTGAGCTCCTTATGTAAGAACAACCCCAGAGGCAGCGGGCTGCACGGCCCGATGGAGGCCTGGTGACCGCAGTGCTCAGCCCAGGCCAGGATGGGGCAGGTGGGACGGCTGGAGGCTGCAGGCAGAAGGACTTAGTGAAACTCCTTGGGAAGGAGCAAGAGAGGGTTCTTAAAGTCACAGGAATTGGCAAAATGAATTTCACAAATATTTAGTCCACTGAAGTCCATGTAAACTTTTGATCCAACCTCCCTGGATGAGATACCAATGTACAGTATCAGCGATGTAGGAAAGAAAAGCAACGAGTGAACCAATATATTATTTTCATCTCTTCAGTTTCAACATGCTTGCAAACAATTTAATTTCTTAAGAGGACAGGCAGTTTCCTTATAAATACATTATCAGTGCCTCCTGCAAGTGTCCTCTGGAGCAGTAGTCATTTGGTCACCTTTTTTTTGGTCCAAAAATGTTCATAGCAGCTTTATTCATGTTAGCAAAAAGTAGCAATAGCCTAAGTGTTCATCAACAGGAAATGATTTTAAAACCACAGTATATTCATATACTGGGACACGACTCACAAATAAAAAGGAACAAAGTGATGATAAACCCTACAAATTTGGATGAGTCTGAAAAACATGCTGAGATGCCTTTCAACAGAGAGTACATACTGTTCGATTCCATTTAAATGAAATGTTGGAACAGTCTGGTGCAAAACAATCTGAAGAATCATTTGTTGCCTCTGGATGGAGTTGGAAGTGACTTGAAGAGGCATGCAAGAACGTTTTGGGGTGATGGTAATTTTCTACATGTTGATAGGAGTTTGGTTACAGAGGTGTCGTCAAACGATATGCTTAAGATTCATACATTTCATTGTAAATTTTGCCTCAAAAACGAAAGAAATGGTAAACAAATATTGAACTCTAGTTACTGACATGCATGCTGATGTGTTTCAGGATGAAGTGTACCAATGATCGCAGCTAAGTTTGAAATGTATCAAAACATAAGTTAAATGGGTGGAAAGAGGACTAGATGGATGGGCAGATAAACCAGGGAGAGCAGCAGTGGAATCTAGGGGATTGGTACTGGGGTGTTCACCGTACCATCTGTCAACCTTTCTTACCTTTTAAACATTTTCATAATAAAAGTTGGGAAAAGTAGTCCTATAATAGGGAAGAACCTTTGTGTTCTATTATGAGTTAATCACCAAAGGGAGGTTGCCTGTTAGCTTAAATTACACAAAATGGCCCATCCCTGGGAACCCCTCTCCCACGTAATGAGCGTTAAGCTAAAATATCTTTGTTTAGCTCACAGGAAACATCCTGACCAGGCCCACCTGTAAACAGCTGCAGGAAGAAATTAGCACCACCCCTCCGTGTGGCGGGAACCAGGACTTTATCCCCTCCCCTTTTAGTATAAAAGAAGTCTGAATTCTAACTTGGGGAAGATAGTTCTTTGGGACACTAGTCCTCAGTCTGCTGGCTTTGCAAACAAAGTCGTTATTCCTTGCCGCAGCAACTTGTCTCTCAGTTTATTGGCCTGTCTTGTCACGAGCAGTGTGAGCTTGGACTCGATAGCAGTCCTCAAAGGATATGGTTCACTTTGGACAGCTGAAGACTATTGTGAAAATGTAAAGGACACTGCCCTAAGCTCACCTGAAACACACGGCATATGGAAGTACCACATGTTTATTGCACAACTGCCCACTTTATGGCTTAATATCTGAGTTATTTCTTATGGAATATGTGGATCAAACACTGAAATTAGTCTGTGTTCTGTGCATCTGGAATAACACAATCAACACTTTTTCTGAAATCTGCCTAGGGAAAAGATGCTGCCGAAGAGGTCCAAGAAAAGGAAAGAGCACTGAAGTCAGCAGGAGGTGCAAGAGTGGACCGAGCACAGAGGCGTAGAGGGGCTCTGGGGGCGCTTGTCAGTTCGTCCTCCAGCGCTTGGAGGAGTGGAGTTTTTCAGTGATCTGGTCTCAAGTAGGTACAGAACAACGGGGAATAAAAAGAAAGAAAATACGTGTTTCTTTGCAGACTGTGGAGTTACCCCTGAACTTAAAACTACCCACAGACGCAGCTCTAGTAGCAAAGCATGATTTCCATCAGGTCTGAATAATCGTGAAGTCAGAAATGGCGACCTCGTACTATAAAATTGTGCATATTTTATGTAACTGACTTGAAGATACCTGGCTTTTTAAATGTTTGTGGGTGTCTCAGAAAGGAGCATGGTGGGGGTAAGAGGGACTCAGTGTCCCGGTATTGTCATGAGAACATAAGCATTTCGATTTTGATTTAGATTTTAGACTGTGATTTGGTTCATTCAGCCTGTTACTTATTTGACAGAGGTTTCAAAGACATTTCAGCAGAGAAATTTCAGCAGAGAATGTGGCTCCCTATTTTGCATCAGCCTTGAGAGGCTAAGGGTAACCCCAGACATCCTAGCTTAAACTACTTGGACCTACTTACCTTACAGTGTTTTATTACTCATTCTTTTATGTCATCTTTTTCTGGGGGATCCTAACCCCCAATGGTTCTTAACAGGAGAGAGGTGATGAAACATCTTGTATTTTGAAAAAAGGATCCCCAGATGATGCTGGAAGGTCTCCAGTTTCTGAGAACCACTTCTTTGAAACAGACATGTTAACTTTTAACTGGTGGTTAGCAAAAAATTGTACACATTTACCTCAAACTGAACCATCACCACTTATGATGGCAAGACACTTTTAGACTTGATTTGATGAGCACCAGATGGAGAAATTAAGGCAATTTGCATTTCAAAAAAAATCAGGATGTTAAGTTTGTAAAGTTCCTTAGATGTAAGCTTCACTTAGACTTAAAACTCGGGAAGGGAATATTTGTTAAAGATATATAAAGCCAGGGTGCCAGTCTATTAAATTATAGTAAATATACAACTTACACAGACTGGAACAGTCATACTGGCATGACTAATGAACTTTTTCCTCACTGTTAATTCTTTTTAAAAAAACTTTAAGTATGAAAAAATGTAAACATACCGAAAATTTGGAAGATTAATAACTAACACTCACATAAATGTAACCTAGATTCAGTAAGTGGTGCCATAATTACATTTATATTTTGTGCTGAATGATTTCAAAGTAAGCTGCAGATGTCATGACACTCCCCCTAAGAATTTCCTAAGAATGCCGTTTTCACACCTACAAAAATTAACAGTACTTTTCTGACAGTATCTAATCCATCATGAATCTAGTCCATATGTGGATTTTCTCCGTTTATCTCACGTGTCTTTGTAGTTGCTTTTTTTCAAACACACTGCATTTTATAATTATGTCTCCCTAGTCTTTTCATTCAAGTTCCCAGTGACACTGATGGTTTTTAAGACTCATGCACTGGGGTGTCAGATGCTGACCTGACCTTTGTTACCTGGGTGACGGCCAGAGTGTGTGTTTCCCATTTCAACTTGGAATTATTCCTTGAGCCGCCCTTTGGCGTTACTTGAATACCTTGTTTCCTCATCAGCTTTTTACTTAATGATTTTTGCCTCTATCTTTCCTAATCAGTGATTTGATTGGAGGTGGCAAAACGGTGGTTTTAAAATTACTTCTTTTTGTCTCCATGTATTAGCTGGCATTCTACTCTAAAGAATGCTTTTCTTCGTCAGCTAGGGATGATTACAGTTCTCCCTAAAAAGGTGGGGTAAATGCTTAGTTCTTTTTCTTTAATTACCGATTTCCAAAGTAAGAAGTCAGGGTAGTAGTCACATACGATTGTGGCAAATTATCTTTTTTATTTTAAATAGGTTTTTGCATATCCAGTGTGTTGAAATGAATTTCAGTCATTTACATTTAAATTATCACACGTTTGGCCAGTGGGAGTCTCTTCCTGCTACCAAACTGTAAATGGAATGTAAACAAAATGATACAATCGGGGGAATCTGAAAACTGGATATTTGATGATAGAAAGGGATGATATTGGTTGGGATATGTTCTCGTGGTTACTAAAAGGATAAGAGTCCCCACTTCTTAGAGATGACGTAGTGAAGTGTCTACTGGCGAGACAGGATTTACTTGGAAATAGTTCATGGATGTTGGAGGCAGGGAGTAGCGCTGGTGGAAGAGGAAACACATCGGGGCACGTGCTTAACCAGGGAGCTGAGTGATGGAAGCTTAGAGCTTTCTTTCTGTTTGTTTGGGTTTTTTTGTTTTTTATTGAAATATAGTTGATGAGCTTAGAGCTTTCTTACACAACTTTTTCAGTATGTGTTTGAGAATTTTTCTAATAAAAAGTTTTCCCGTTATTTGAATTTATGTTGATATTTGCAATTCAAATTTAATATCATAGGTGTTATTTTCTTAACTCTGTATTTTTATCAATGAAAAGCTTATTTTGAAGAAACTTCGCTGATCTAAAGCCAAAATCAAGCTAGTATTGAAGCGTAATTGCTGTATAAATCAAGAAAATTTAAAGCCCTTTAAAATTTGAATAGTGGCAAAAGACTTTTTGAAAAAACATACTATTTTTTTATCCTTTACCTTTACTTCTTGGAAAGTGCTTTTAAAGCTTTAAAAAATACATATATCATTTTTCTGAAAAATTTTTTTGTTAATAAATATAATTTACTTTCTAATATAAAAAATACTTATTCCTTATAAAAATTTGAGAAGTAATGAGGAGGAATAGGGGCAAAAGAAATCACTGTGTCTTCAACCTTAAGAAAACCTCAGGGTTTTTCTTGAATGTCTTTCCATCTTTTTCCTGTGCCTAGTTTATTTGCTTCCTTGTTTTAAAAAATCCTGCACTTGACAAGAATACATTCTGTGTGACGTGTTGATGGCTCAGCGCACAGGGCACACGGGCTGCTAGTTTCATGCTGACTCTTTGTGAAATCTGGGACTTGATGCCGCTGCTCTTTTTCTGATGATAAATGGAAAAAAGTCTTTTCTCATCTCTTCTGACTTTGCTGCTTTTTTGACTTGGGGGCTTCCTGCACCAACAAGTATCTGACTGTTGTTGACAGTACCTCAGCTGCTTAGAACCCAGCTCAGTCCCGCCTTAGTGCCTTTACACGTCTACAGCTGGAGTCCTCCCCAGCGCATGACTGTCAGGTAACTCATTCACTGTGGGTGAAACAGCTTTGCCTCAGGAGATCTCACCGAGGTCGGTGGACATTTGAAATGCCAGCGGGGGACGGGAAGTGTGCACTTACCGGCATCTGTGTGGTCGGTGGGGATGGCGCATCTGAAGACGCAGGGGGTACGTGCCCGCAGACACCGCCTCCCTCCTGGTGTTTCCTTTGGCTCATGCTTTCATTCAACACGTAGTCAGCCCTTCATATCCACAGGCCCCGCATCCACGATTCAACCAACCGTGACTGAAAATACTGAAAAAAACAAAAATTCCAGGTAGCTCCAAAAGGCAAAACTTGAATATGTCGTGTCCGGCAACTAGTTACACAGCATTTACATCGTATCAGTTACCAAGAGTAATCCAGAGACGATTTAAAGTGCACGGGAGACCACAGGCAGGCACTGCAGCCTTTAGTATCAGGGACTCGAGCATCTGCGGATGGGCATCCGTGCTGGGGACTGAGGCCGCTGTACGTCCTGGGACAGACTCTAGGCGGTAGTGTTAGGAGCACAGGAGTGCACCATATGTACAAATAACGTTTTCTCATGAAGCTTCCACTGGAGTGAGGAAAGATGGTGAACGTTATGTGTAGACAAATGTGTATCAGCAGTGAATCTTTTTAAAAGGCAAGGAAATGGGTCTGAAAGGATGGGGTGTGCCTCTTACAGAGTGGACAGGGAAGGGCTCCCTGTGACCGGAAGTGAGGGAACCTACGTCTGCCCTAGGGAAAGGATCACACCAGAGGAGGGATGGTGGGTTCAGCTTTTACGAGGAACAGCTAGGAGGCCTTTGAGGTTGGAACCGAGAGCGGAGAAGCGGGCTGGGTGCTGGAGGCTCTTACATGGGCCTGGCTTTAACCTGAGTGAGCTGGGAGCAGACAGGGACTCTGAAGGACCCCTCTGTGTGCTATGTGGGTGACAAGTCCTCAGGGGCAGGGGGAGGGGAGAGCGCTCAGGAGATGGTGCCCGTGGTCCAGGTGAGAGATGGTGGCATCTGGGAGCAGGGCGATGGCCATGGAGGAGGTGAGAAGCGGTTGGACCCTGGTTAGTTTTGGAGGGTGAACAGGAGGCCCCAGCTAATGAGCTGCTAAGAGAAAAAGAAGGGTCAGGGATCACTTGGCTGTTTTTGGCGGAGCAGTGGCAGGACGTGGGGAATTGTGGCCATGGTGACTTGAGGGTGACTGCTGGGTATCTAAGTGGAGGCAGTGGGTAGGCGGTGACTCCACAGGGTGCGTCCAGGGGGAGGTCGGGGCAGAGCATCTAACCAGGGAGGGAGGGAGGTGGAAGTGTGCACCTCCCATCACTTTCTGTTCAATTTCCTATTCCTTTCCCCCATCACTGGTCACCAGTGGATGTGAGTGGTGGTGACCAGGGTAGGAGAAGTGGGTTACGCAGCCCAGTGGGATCAAATCTGGACCAGAGGGAATCTCCAGGCTTAACAAACAGCCCAGGTGATGCTCGTGCAGGTGACCCAGGAAGCATTCTTTGAGAAGCATTATCTAAGGCACCATATCCTTTTCTCTCTCCTCTTCGACGAGCTGCACATACCTCTTTTGTCTTTGAGTCTGGTGTTTCTCAGCAAACCCTGCATGAGATGAACGGGTTCCCTCCTCACTCTTTCAGACACTTCTCAGGCTCACCTGACCTGTGGATGGAAGGAGGGACACTCTACTCCTTAGCAGAGAAGCAACTAAAAAATCAAAATGCCACTTACACGTAGAGCGCTCATAGCCAGGAGGTAAAACCAGCACCACCACACATGCTGCGTTAACACTCAGTAGGAGTGCCTCGCCTGCCTGGTGGGTGGTCTTTGTCGTTTGTGAGGTCAGCACTTCAGTGCCAGGGCAGTTCCTTTCTGAGTCCCACCTAATTCTTCCAATGGGTCTGCTCTCTTCATGGAGGGGCCCCGTTCCCGTAACAGTATTCTGTTCTTTTGTATGCCACCAGATATATTGATAAATTGTTCATTATATTAAGTTTTTGGGCAGGTGTGAATGAATCCCCAGGGATTTTATGTACTGTGCCATCCTAAATAAACCCTTAGGATAATACTTGCTTTTGGAGTTGGCACTGGAAAACCATGGTAAATGGAGTCAAATGAGATGATTTTTTAAATTTCCGTAGCACTATATCCTTTCTCTCTCCTCTTCGACGAGCTGCACATACCTCTTTTGTCTTTGAGTCTCTGGTGTTTCTCAGCAAACCCTGCATGAGATGAACAGGTCCCCTCCTCACTCTTTCAGACACTTCTCAGGCTCACATTCACAGATGACAGTTCCCCCAGGCTCCAGGGTTGCCTTCCATGAGCCATGGTCTCAAACCACGGGAATAAATGACTGACTTTTAATGAACTTTTCTCCCTGCTTTTTAGGATGGCTGCTCTTTTTCTAAAGAGGTTAACATTACAAATCACAAAGACTGAAAATAACTGCATTAGAAGCTGTTGGGGTAAATACGTCGTACAAAAGATGGCCTCAGCACAGCCGTCCCCTATTGCTTCTGCCCCGAGACCGTCCTGCCTAACTCACGCAAAAGCCTTTAGTATGGAAGACATTCGAGATGAACAAAGAAAGAAAAAAAAGGATGACACAGCTTTCAGTAACATTGGCAGGAAAATCAGCGAGCGCATTATTCACGTGCTGGACGAGCAGGGCAACGACCTGGGCCACATGCACCGGGCGACCGTCATCCGGCTGATGGACGAGCGGGACCTGCGGCTGGTGCGGAGGGACCCTGGTGCTGAGCCCCCGAAGTACCAGCTCCTGACGGGCGCGCAGATCCACCAGGAGCGGCTCCGGCTGCGGGAGCTGGAGAAGGCCAAGCCCAGAACCGGTAGGTGCTCTGCCGCTTGCTCGGGTTCCTCGAGCTCTGTCAGCAGTTTAACTGGCTTTGCCGGTGCCCTGTGACTACGGGGCAGTGGAAGACAGGAACACTGGCACTTTCACCACCACTTCCAATGCCTTTTTTCCATCCTCCACTTCCTTTTCCTCTTTTTTCTTCCTTCCTTCCTACACTGTGTCCATTATCTCTTCCTTTAAACCTGTGTCAAATGAGGGGAAAACAAGGTGAATACCACCGAAGTGATGCTTTGACCTTAGCATGGCCTCGCGGTGCCGGGCAGTTGAGTAACAGGCAGGCTTGGGGAAGGGACGTGGAAGAGACTGTGCGAGCCCCTGGTTCCTGGACCTGTCCTGTGCCCTCCTCCTCCTCCCCCTCATCGCTAGGGGGGAGGTGCTCAGTGAATTACAGGGAAGCACTTTCTAAACTCGGAAGTGACTCAGGGCGTCCCCCATGCCCACCTGTTACAGTATCAGTAATGACACTCGTTTACATGTTTTGCTGGTCACCTGGCAATGCGGTTGTCATTTAAACCCATGTTGTTTTTCATGATTCCTAGTAAGTGAAGAGGTCGGAAGGCTGGTCCCAGAGCTGCCAGAGTGGGGCTGTGTGTCAGCTTTGTGACACCACATTTAACAACAGGGGTATTGACCGAAAAATAAAAAGTACCCAGCAGAGGCCAACTAGGGTGACAAGGACATCAAGCCATGTCACATTAAAAAAAAAAAAGGTGAACAGTCCAAGGAGCTTGGTTCAAAGCTGGCTGAGGGGCTGACCTGTCAAAGGCGCCCCCTTGTCCTGACAGAGGACTCGGACCAGCTGGTAGGAGCTGAATGGAAGCAAGGAGGTGTTAATAAAAGAACTCCTTTTTAGAAAAATTACTCTTTTTTACTTTAAATTAGAAAGCATAAAGAAAAAAATACAATAAACACCTGTTACCCACCACCCAAAATAAGAAAAATAAGGGTTAACTGGTTCCTTTCCAAGGCCCATTCCTGTTCTTTCGTCAATGTTAACAATAAATGAAGTATTTCATATTGAAACTTTCGTGGCAGATAAGAAATTGGTATTTTACTTTGTGTCTGTCTCCTCTGTTTAAAAGTGTTTACTGGCGTGTGAAACTGCAAGTCAGAGGAGGGGACTGCGGGGGCCCCTGCATCGACCTAAGGCTTTAGGACGTGCATGAGACGAAGCGCAGGGCTGGCCCGCAGACTAGCACCAAGTCTCCCTGTCCCCACCCAGGGCCCACTCTGACAAAGGAGCTGACCTTTTCTTCAAATATTGGACAACATGATTTGGACACAAAGACTAAACAGATTCAGCAGTGGATCGAGAAAAACTACAGAGTTCAGATTACCGTGAAGAAAGGGAAGAGTGCGGAAGAGCCTGAAAGCAAAACGGTAAGTGGAAGCCGGCCGGGGCGGCTGTGTGCGCCTTTCTGGTTTCTGAGCTCACAGCTGCAGAGACTCTGGAAAACGTTAACGGCCGAGTAACTGGTAACTCTACCCAGCGATGGTACTAGCTTTCCAATTTGTTTTTCAAAATGCAAGCATTCTGTGTACACACGACCTTTTCCATTGTAGCAGAAATACTCTGCCCTGTGGAAACACTCTACTTCCTAATTTAAGGGCCTTATACTATTTTACAAGTTGTAGAATGTCTAATACTTAAATAGGAGAACTAGAAGCTTTATGGGTTCATCTTCTCAAGTTTGCTTCCTCTTTATAAATGCCTAGGAGAAGCAGTACATGCAAAGTCAGCCTGTCCCCTAGAAAGTGTGTATGTTTACAATCCCAGGATAAGTCTGCGGAATAGCTGTTTCTCTTCTGTAGTTATGTAATTTATCGGCAGCTAAAAGGCAGCATTTATTCCAGTGATTACAGAATCAGAGGCCCAGGGCCCAGCAGAGCTGGTCCAGAACCTCTTTGACCGAGTGTCTGTGTTTGATCACCCAAGGATTCTGAGTGAGCGCTGGGGACTACACGGGCTGACAGCTTGGGGGACAAGCAGATGCGCTGCCAACGCCCAGACCCGCCACTCTGTACTTCTGTACTTGTTGTGGGGGTGGTTTGGGCCAGACATAGCCCCTCAGTGCCATGATGGGGGATTTAAAGCTCTCAAGCCTTCGCACGTTAGCCTAGTTATTGCACAGGTTCAATCAGCCGAACCAGGTATGTACCAGATTTGATTTAGCAAATCCCATAAACAGGTGCAATTCAAGACTGCTGGTCTTTACGGGTATTAGACATTAACCCTGGAAAGACTCAGAGGTGTTAGATCTAAATTAGTCTTTGGCTGCCTTCCTTTTGTAGGAGGAGATATTTAATCAGATACTCCAGACCATGCCTGGAAGAGCTACCTTCTCATCCAAGCCACAGCCTATCAGAGGGGGAAAGGCTGTGATGTGTGTTCTCCGTCCCTTGAGCAGAAAGGAAGAGACAGTGTCTGCAGCAGCTCAGGGGGCCCCAAGAGGAGACCCTCTGAACAGAGAAACTGGAAACGATGGAGAATCCGGTGGTCCACACCAGTGATTTTAATAAAAACACGCTTCTGATGGAAAATAACTGCACTGGGTGGTCTGTGGTCCTTCAAACAAAGCAGGCTGGTGTGTCTCTGGGCTCAGCATCGCAACAGCGGAGGGCACCCCACCTTCAGTGCTGTTCAGTGACTCTCCGTTTCTAGGCAAAGACACGCCTGGGTCCTGTTTCCTTTTAGGAGGGATGTACCCACTGAGCCGAGAGGCCAGACTCCGTTTTTCACGAGCTGGTTTCACCTTTGGAAATAAGGAAAACAGATACAGTCAGCCCACCATGTCTGTGGGTTCCACATCCACATGTCAACCAACCGCTGATGAAAAATACTAAAAAAAAAAAAAAATTCCAGAAAGTGCCAAAAAGCAAGATTTGAATTTGGCCGTGTGCCAACAACTATTTACATAGCATTTCCACTGTATTAGGTATTATGTGTGCAGGTTATATAAATACAGTTAACCCTTGAACAACTGGGGGGGAGTCAGGCGCACTGACACCCATGTAGTCAAAAATCCATGTATACCTTTACAGCCAACGCTGTGTACCCACAGTTCCACATCCAGATTCCACTGCAGACCACGTAGTGCTGTACCACGTATTTATTGAAAAGAATCCACACACAAGTGGCCCCACGCAGTCCCATGCTGTTCAGGGGTCCACTGCACTACAGCACCTTATACACAGGACTCCAGCACCAGCGGATTCTGGTACCCTAGGGGGTCCTGAAACCCATTCCCCATGGACGCCAAGGGACGACTGGAAGTTGAAAACAAAACCAAACTACTGGAATTGTTTACCTATCACGTGTACAACTACTGCAGCCCGCACAACAAAACCAGTCGTAAGAGAAGAACATGGAAGTTCACACGACTGCGCTCAGCAGCAGTGCAGACTCACAGAGGAAGGAGGAGCTGAAAACACTCTACACAGCTTGCATCTGGCTTAGGCATTTTTATGTGTAAAAACTAAAGGCTTGCTAAGTTGTCTCCACTTACTTTGAGCTTCATTTTCTTCTTGTCAGGGTCGTGCACAACAGCATGCCTGGTGAGACTCTGCTACAAGGACGGAAAAAGAAGAAAAATTTAAACCCTGCCATTTGGTGTCTGTTACTTTGAAAACCCCATGAGTTGTTTAAATAAACTATCAGCCTTCTTTTTCATGTTCTGTTAAAGGTTTGACCTCTGCCTAAAAGGATCCCCCCACTGGAGCAGAATTACTCCTTAAATCCTGGACTTAAATCACCGCCTTTCCCAAGGACCGAGGTCAGGAATTCGTAGTCTCCACCACCTGGGGCTTCCTAGTTCTTCCCCAAGTAAGAGGGGGCGGGGCGGGGGGGGGGACACGACCAGCTCTGAGTGAATTCCTTAACTGGATCTGTGTCAGCAGCACTCCCAAACGCCAGTGGAAAATCTGACCCGAGTCCTGCTGTCCTTGGTCCTAACGCTGACCACCATCTGCTCCAAGTGGCTTCCTCATGGTCTAGACTGTTCTGTGCTAGCCTCACTCCTGCCTTCAGTCTTGACTATAACTCACAGCAGGTGCCTGTAAGAGCACCAACCAGGTGCGAGTCCACAGGACTACACAGGCCCCTTCACCTAGTGCCAAGTCCTCACCTATTCAAGTCACACCAAAATTGAGACTAATGTCCCAAAGGTCTGTGGTCCCTCACATTCTTGCTTCCTGCTTCCCTTCTCCATCCCTAGATGGCAGTCCAGAGGACACCCAAGCCATCAGCAAGCTCTGACACACAGCACAGGGTACCACAGGCCACTGGGTCTCAAACTGAGCCACATAAGAACCACCTGGAAGGTTCGTTAAAACCCAAATTACTGGGCTGATCCCCAGAGCCACTGATTCGGGGGTCTGAGGTGGGGCCTGTGGACATGCATCTTGGCAAGTTCCCTGACACTGCCAACGCTCCCGCCTCGGGGCCACAGTCAGAACCACTGGCCCTGGCACCTCTGGTTGTCTGGCAGAGTTTAGTTACGAGGCATTCCTGCTGGAGCAAG